CGTAAAAAGACTGGGACACCAGTAATGAATGGTACCTTAGCTCAACGGCATCCGAGCGAGATTTCATTCAATTCCCTGCAGATGCGAAGTACCTGTTCATACATCTCAGATGCCTGATCCTCCTATGCGGCCAAATTAGCATCTACCTAGCTGACATTGAATTATCTTTGAAAAGATCAGCCAGGCCTCCCTGAAACCATGCAGAAAATTGACGTGATCCGGACGCACATTTTCTATTAAATGGCACGCAGAGTAAAGTGCTATCGAAGTCGTTAGCAATGGCAGGCAAAGTATTTTGATGCGTCATAAATGAAATCTTCAAATTTTGTTCAGGCAGTTTCCAGGACACCTTCCAGATATCCCTGAAAAAATGAGGCTTGCAGATTCTTCACTCAGAGTAGCCGCGCAAATATAGTTCTTAGGACTGGCTGAAAAAGCAGAGACCAAATCGAAACATCAACACGCCATGATTTCAGTGCTCTAGCAAGAGGTGGATGGTGCAGCCTGAACGACGAAGCAATGCAGCACCTCAGAGCGATCTTGTCATGAGTATTAAAGGACGCTGTTATAACTGCACAATTCCTAATCTGTTTCTAAACTTCTGTTACCTATTTGCAAACAGTTAATATTTGCTTGTTAACTGTTCGCAGCCGCAGAATGCCTATGCACGCCTACGTCATATATTATGTGCCCAGCTCATTGGTCTAGAAAATCAGCAAAACATTAACGAACTGGAATATGCTCTATAGATACTGGTGACGTTATTATGTTACCTGTCTGAACTTGTGAGTAAATGGCAATACAAATGTATTGCGTACTGTTTCAAGCGTTTGTTGCACGCGTAGAATTTTCTGGAAGCCAGACAATTCGACCTGAAATTGTTTCTATTTTGATACCAGTGCTTAGGCATCAGTCCACCGAATGGCGGAGCTATCGAATTAGACTAGTGTTTTTCATCGTTGATACTATATCTTCTCGTTAGAAAGAACTTGTCTTCTAAAACGATGTTGCAGTCATCATGTGAATCTGCCTTTGTTCAGCTTTACGGACCGCCTGATATCATAGATGGTGTCTGTGTGGCAAAGAAGCCTCAACCTGTCATGTGGTCGTACCAGACACGGTCGATTGATAGCAGAACCAAAGTAACGAAGTCTTTAATGAAAATTCTTGCTCTCCCGACACAGAATCACTATACATTTATCCACTGCTTTATCCTTTATCCTCTCTAAATTACGGTATAATGAAACGCTGATTCAGTAGAATTGATAGTAATAAGAAAATTTCATCCAACTTTATGATGTGAACCGTGAGTATGCTGCCTATCTATGCTCCACTTTACGAGAAAAAAAAACTTTATTCAAATAACATACGCAAACAAGAAAACTGGGCAGTTTTGTTTTCTGATACGTCACCAAAACGTTGCGCAGGGAATATAAATTTGACTAGACCTGTCAACCTTTATAAGACAGGGTATGCTTGTGGCAGTAATGTGTTTTGGGCGCAAACAAGCATGACATGTACTCTTTAGCATACTGATTGAACTACATTCCCTTCTATGAAATCCTTCCTGGACTTCCTTCTTCTTTATTCTCAACATTATACAACAGTAGAACAGATTAGCAAAATATTACATAATGTAACAAAATAAATTGCTTACTTCAAATACGTACAAAGGCGAAAACTAGAATTTCTTAGAATTTGCTTTGAAAAACAAGAAAATGAGTCTAATTGAAGCCAATTCTTTTTCTGCAAAAGGATTCTAATCGTATTTAAATGCTATTATACCATAGTTTTATGGAAGAAATCTTTTACACTCCTTCTAAAAGCTTAGTATGCTATGCCTGTTTGTTGTTATTGAGAATGTTCGAACTCGCCGAATGATTAACAGACATTATATATTTAATTACACGGAAGAATGGATTGCGGCACTGGAGATCATTGCAGTGATTAAGATAAAATCCTAGAAAAGGTAATTGTAAAAGAATCCCTATTTTACCCCTGAAATGATAAAATACGCATAAATCAAATGGTTTCCTGAATTATAATAAAAAAAATAATTTTCAGTTACAAAGAGTGGAAGTGGAAGCTAAAGATTTGACGAATATCTTACATTTCCGTCGACTTCGGATCCAAATTATTTGGGGAGTAACTAAATTTCGACATGGCTTTAAAAAAATCGCGATTACTTTAAAGATGTTCATTTTACTCGCAGTTAACGGGAATGATCGAATGACTCCACCATATTATACTTTTCGCTGATTTTATGCTTTCTCGATTTTGTTGCCCTCGCGCACATCTTTGGAGGTCTAACTGAATAGTAGGAACTTCCTTGTATTTGCAATTATGTTATTACTTTCGGTGGATTTAGCGATACGAATCTACGATGCATTTGAGATAAGGAAGTGGATATTATTTGTAAACGTTGCATAGTTTATGAAATCTCAGAGATTCGAAAGTTGCTGTAATGGCGAAAAAATCACCAAAGCTGTTTTATCCTTATTCAAAAAAATACAATGCCATGAAGAAAAAAGTATAGAAAATGAATTATGTAAAAGTAAAATAAACGGGCGATTGAAAGACAAAATGAAAGACAAGGAAAAGAGAGAAAAGTTAAGATTGAGATTAAATAATGTAAACTGAATCCATTAGGATAAATTTAAACAAGGCGAAAAATATTTGTCGGGAGCATTTTCAACTCTTTTTACGAAGCAACATTATTTTAAGAATATATCAGCAATGATGTCGTTACAGTATGAGGCTTTCATGTCCTAATTTACAATTTTTGTAATTAATTTTGTACAATTTGTTAATGGCAGCCTAGCGATATCAGAATGTTGTAAGCTGGAATTGTTATTTGGAAGAGCACGTTTTTCATCCTGAATAACGCAAATCTTTTGATAGCCATAACAGTACATTTGGTCGCCAGCCAAGTTTTTGAGTGTAGTTTATCTTTTTTGCAGTGTTCACCATATAAGTTTCTAAAGTTTGGTGAGAACTTTCATAATGAAACAATGAGTCACGAGCACTACTTTAATGAAAACGAATGAGTGAAGTCAGTTGTCGCCTGAAAATTAATGACTATTGATTAAACTTTAAATTAAAGCCCAGAATAATGCTTCTATCATGTTGAGTTGTGAATCAGGATCAGGATAAAACGGGTGACAATGAATAATACTGTAATCTGAAGTGTTTCTGTTTTGTTGTTTTATGCAATTCTCTTACATTATTCACGGAAATTAACAATGGCAATTACTTGTGACTTCATTCACACAGGAATTAAATTACACCGAATAAAACTTATCATTAAGATGAAAGAATTGAACTCACCCAGTAAAGCGGCAGATATTCAGTTGCTTCAGCCCTTTAACATACTTAGGCTGACCGGCTGTTGCTCATTTAGACCAGAGCCAGTTGTTTTATATTAGTTATACCAAAAACAGTTTCGTAGTGCAGAATTTTTGACACAAACCATCTCAACGCTCTGCCCAAAGAAGCCTCCATCCTAATTTAACGTATCCATCTATCAGAGAATCTGTAAACTTAATCCCTCGATCAGGTGGGCATCGTTTCAATTTACTACTTGATTGTTTCTTTCTACAAGAATTAGGTTACGAACAGATGATTCAAAGCATGAGAATTTATTTTGAATCGAGACTGAACATTTACAATGTAATTTGCAAGAAGCCAACATGAAACGGGCAAAATTGGAAAAAATTTTGAAACTTACGTACGAATGTAAAAACGCCACAACAACGTTATAAAGTCGCAACAATATATGAACATCAGAATTCAAAAAAACGAACTGTGAAATGATTCAAGTACAGAGATATGACGTGAAAAAGGTGAGAAAATGCAATGTGCAAGAAAAAGCAACATACAATGAATGAACAGAAAATGTTAACAGCTACCGATTTGGAAAAACGACATCGGTTAAAATGGCTGGACGATAAAAAAGTTGTGTGTTAAGGTACACGCAGAATTCATATCATGGCGAACTCGTACAACAGGTAGAGTTAAATGGCTGCGTAGCCGTGATGTTCATTTCGTCATGGTGAGGATCGGCCGGGCCGTGTTCGTGCTCCATGATTCTCATCAGCGCGATGACCAGAAAACCGATGAACGTGGCGAATAATTTGGCCATATTTGGGTGCTCATTGTCACGTTCATGAAGCAACAC